TATAATTTAAAATGGATTTGGATTTGAATCAAATTTAAATTCATAAATTCTTGTATATCCCAATGAGGGATTTGGTTTAAATCCAAATCCAAATCCAAATTTAAATGCTCATTAACCCAAACATACCATTAATTCCAGACTTTTTCAACCACACAATTTTTAGGACTGCATCCATAACTGTATGAATTAAGGTCTCAATAATAAGAATTCTATTGTTCTGTTCGCTTGACTTGGAATTGGAAGTTAGGCAGCTCAATACGAACAATGCCTTCTTAAACGGATACTAGAAGCTTTAATTTTCTTACTCTTAGACTGCTGCTGCTTATTTTTGTATTAGTGATCAGAAAACTTAAGCTTTTTTCAGTCCCAAGTGGGTCTGAAATCCTTATTTTCTTGTTGTGGGCTTTAGCTTAGATCCAGTGCTTGCCAAAGTTAATACCATGCATGGACACGTCCAAAGTGTGTTTCTTTGAGTTTAGGCTTTTGACTTTTCTGCAGCACTTGTGCACTCTTCAACTTGCTATCCTACGGCGGTCATATAAGACATTTTATATCACTTTGTGGAAGTTGTGTTTTGAAACTCAAGATCGGACTTCAACTGAAAAAAAATAACAGGTCACAGTTTTTATGGTTTAACCGATTAGACATGAGATTGAAATGATGACATAAAAATTAAATAAAAATAATATTTATATATACAAATATATAAATAAAGCATTAATTTGTCTATAGTGCTTGGAATCTCGGCATCAAAGGCTAGATGCTTGGACCGCTAGAGCTGGAGATAAAGGCATGTCAGCACAAGCTCGTGATCTTAAAGGAAAATGTTAGAGCCAGAGGCATGCTGTTATGTCATGACTCATGAGCTTTTGATCTCAATGTCAAAGGTTAGATCGCTAAAGTTGGAGGCAGAGGTTGAAGGAGAAGTTAGAAATTGAGCTTAGGCTATGAAGGAGAGATTAGAGATTAGAGAAGAGAAGACAGAAGAGAATTAGAGACTAGAGAAGAGAAATCATGCATCTGAAAGACTTAATCTAAATTTCCTTTTTTTTCTTTAAACCAGGTTGACCTACTCTAGTTTTCGGGTCAAAGCTAGCTCAAATGTTAGATTGGTTCCTTCTTTAGTCTTTTTTATAGAATAATGAGAATTTTTTTTATCTTATTTATTGAGAACTTTGATTATTGTGTCTATTTTTACTCTTTTACTCCTATTAAATACTTTTTTCGTTTAAAAATATAAGGCATTTTTAATCGAATCTCACCCTCTAATAAAGTAATTACTTACTTTTCAACTAATCCTATCTTTTCATATTTACCCCTATTAAACACCTTATAATAAATATAAAGTCATTATCAATAGGGGCATTTTTAAAAAAAGACAATAAAATATGTTATTAAATGCCTTACATTTTTTATCATCCAACTTCTCAAAAAATGCTTTATATTTTTTAACGGAGGGAGTATCATAAAAGTTATTAAATATTAGAATATTTTATTTTTAAAGTACATATATTTAATATAGTAGTAAAGTTAGGAACTTATTGAATTTTTAGATAAAATTAATCAAGTTTAAATTTTTTCTTGATTTTTATGAAATATATTAAAAGTGACTTACAAATAAAACTAAAATGGTTATATAATTGCAATACTAAAGTAGTTGTAGAGCTCCAATGCCTTAATTACAAAGCCTATTTGAGTTTTTATTGTCAATAAATTAAGTCAATTCACGCATGCTCTTACCGATCTCCATTGGCAGGCAGTTAAGGGAGCTTATAAATATGCTAAAAAGGACTACTACTCCATGGTATTCATATATTTGGTTGACAAACAAATTGGACTATATCGATCATTGGTTCACTTAATAAACAACAGATTGAAACTTAGTTCAGAACATTTCCAAGACGACTTTGTAAAAATCAAACAGTCAAAAAATTGATTTACTATCATTAAAAAAGAAATCTAAATTTTCCTATAAAATTTAAAAACATGTTAGTTTAATTAATTACAATTTATTTTTATTATTGCCAAATCAATCAACTTTGAATCGTTAATTGTCTTTACCAATTCAATGACCGACACACAATTTTGAAAATATTTTCGAATTCCTCTAGGACGCAATAGCAGTTTATGAATAGCATGACTTTGCACTTGAAGAAAGTTTTACCATGACATGAACCCGGGAATTTAAGTATCCTTTTCATTTGTATTCTATTTATAACAAATTTTATTCTTCTCAAATGCATTATTTTTTAAGTACATTATGTTTTGAGGCACTACGACAGGTAATCTACATTCAAAACACGCTGTTCAATATTCTACAGGTTTGTATTTTTCGTAGAGGGTTGACTTAGAATAACAGTTTTTGGAGAGGGTGGACTTGAGAGACTTTTTGGAAGAAGATAGACAATAATTTCTAGTTCAGGCGTTATGAAAGCAATATATATAACTATATAATGGTGCCGTATATATATTGCGTAGAAGCGACTGACTTCAAAGTAAACGGAAAGAAAAACAAGGAGTTGGGTTCGGTGAGTATCCTAATTTCACTTATTTAATAAATGTTTTAATTGCAGCTATTAGATTTCATCAACAGTGAAACATTGTCAAGATATATTTTTCTATAAAAATTCAAAAAATCTTTTAACTCTTATGCATGCAGTCACTTAAAAAAAATTGAAATTTAAAACTTTCCGAGTATTATTTATATAGAAAAATCTTTTTTTTTTGCCAAAAATATAGCAAAATCTTTAACAGTTATTCAATTAAATCAAGTATTATTTATATTTAGGCTATTTACTATTCCAAATCCGATAAACAAAGCTTTCATTGTTGTTAATTTCCTTCCAAGATGGCTGCTAGTATATGAGGTTGGTTACGAGTGTTGAATCTTCTCCCTACGAATGACTTGTTTTTCTTTTTTTTTAATTCAACAACTGGGGACGTAACATATGTATTTGCCAAATAGATAGTGTTGGGGTATTCAAATATTTTATCATTGTGAATCCCTCGCTGTGTAGACGGAGGCTATAAAATAAAAACAAAAACAAGCAAGTTGGACTTTTTATAAGTTTTTTTTGTGTTTATGACATGGAAAATAGATAATTTTTGTGCGTTGGAAGGGGAAAGAGATATTATTAAGTTATGAATAATGTGATTCCTTGCATAGAAAACATTTATTTATTTTATTAAAAATTCTTCCAAATTGAAAAGAACAAAAAGAAAAGGTAACTAATAAGCATTTTGTTGTCTAGTTGGCATAAAAAATAATATTCTATTTATTAAGTGATGAATAGTATGGTTGAGAAGAATGACAAAATAAGAGGGAACCAGTGATTCCGATATTTTGCGTAGAGTCTAAGAAGAGTGATATTATTTATAACTTATAAATCATATAACTTTCCACAGAATAATTATCTGGAACATATATATATATATATATATATATATATAAAATACAAATCGATCACACCAAATGCACGATCAGGCACTACCTGTACGTGGATACCCTTTCCAGCGAGGATTCAAATACCGATTCATCATGTTATAAGGTATTTGCTCCTTCCATTATGCCTAACTCCCATTGGTATTTATCTATAGTAGAGCTTTCTATAGATTTATTAGCGGGATTGGGTCTAGCGAGAGGGGTTAGTTTTTCATAATGTGATAAACTAAAATTCAAATTTTCACTAAAAAAGATACCCATTTAGTGTCCAATCGTATCTCGAATAGGATCGCCTTCAACATAAAGATACTTGTGAGCAAAAATAAAAAAGCTTTCTATTCTATAGATTTTAATAGTGTTTTATAAAGAATATAAAATATAGTTAAACCTCTTTTTCTTTTGCAACCAATAGAATTAATTTTTTTCAACAATGAAACAGAAACAAGAGCTGCAGAAATGGAAGCATAAATGCTGCATTCACTTCTTAGAAACATCCCACGTTTAATAGCATTCAAAACCTGTTTGTAACTTGTGTAACCTCCGTTTTAATCCTTCTATTTTCGTTTGGCCATGACAGCATAAATAGGGCACAGTTTCAATGTAATAGCAGCTAATTTTGAATGAATAAACAAGAGTGCCCTTTTATCCATTCGGTTTTTGAGCCAAAAATAATTTTGAGTGTTTTTTTAATTACAAGTTTGAGAAGACTTGGTCATAGTAAAATCCAAATACAATGTCTTCAATTTATCTTTTTAACAAAATATATAGACACACACATGCACATACGTGTGTTTTGTGTGTAACAATTTTTTAAGGGAATAGCAGCCCCTAAATTATATTTCTTGGCCAAGATTCCGATTACAGATAAGATCTGGAATTTTAAAAGTTCATGTGTCTGAATCGGTTCTACGGGCAATGTCTTCTCAAGACGTCATACATAATCATAATTGTCCATTTTAATAATAAATCATTATTTGATCTAATTTAATTAGGTGCCTGATTTTATAAGACTGCTATATTATAAAACAAGAACGTGGTTTACAGCTCATTATTATTAAAAATTTTAATTTTCAAAATTTGGTCGTAGTTAAAAATCTCTACTAAGTAAACTCAGTTTAACATGGCCTATCGACTTAATATATCATTATAACATGTTATAAATAGTATGGCTTACTCCTTATATTTTATATAATACATGGGGGAAAATATCTAGTTATAATGAAAATTTGTGTTTTAAAGTCATCTAACTATAATCAATCAAAATGAAATCTTAATTTGAAATGCCACCTAGACCTGTTCTATTATTCTTAGATGAATTCTGAAGAATAAACTATACTATTTGTAACTTGAAAATAATATGTTTTGTTATGAATCTTATTATATATATATATATTGATTAAACATTTTCGTAACAGATGGAAATGAATTATAATATAAAGAAATGGGGCTATTCTGTAATTCAATTAGAAGTGAAACCCTACATCTTCATACAAAGCATATAATGGCTTTAACGGTATAAAAGTCAACGTCCATCTTAATCGTCTTCATTCATGAAGAATGAAACCCTATATCTTCATACACACGCACAGAAACACCACACAGACAGGTTATATAGTTTGCTGTCATTTTCAAACCGCCTGCTTTTCTACTCTTATAAGTAGCGTCTCCCTTCATCATTCATTCTTCACCTTCTCTATCACTCTTTCTCTCTCTTCTGCAAGAACACCATGTTGCTATACCTGCAGCAAAAGCCCTGCTTCATCTTCTTTCTCTTAAGTTTCATAATCTGGTCATGGGGGACACTGGACGGCGTCGTTTCGGACCCACAGACCAACTTTGTGAAACTAGGGTGCAGCCAATACAACGTGACAGACTTGTCCATCTTCAGTGATAACTTAAACTTAACACTGCGAGACCTGAGAGCGCAGATCAGCAACCAAAGTAAACACTTCGCGACGGCGCAGGCGGTTGAAGGGTAACAATCCAGCGTACGGCCTTTTTCAGTGCAGAAACTACCTCTCCATCTCCGACTGTCTCAAGTGCTTCGATTTCGCCGCCGTTCACATACGCAACTGCTCTGTCGGCGTTACCGGTGCTCGTATCATCTACGAAGGTTGCTTCCTCAGGTGCGTAGAACTCCTACTTTGACTTTTTAAAATTCCCTTGTTGGGGACAGATACGTATTTCCATTACAAAACAAGACACATGGAACTACTTTATTATTTTTAAAAAATTAAGTGAGATTAATTTTTTATATAAATATCAGATTTCATAAAGATAAAACGAGTACATATAAAAGTCCAACTTAACTACATAACTAGTGTTTAGGTGGGTAGGGGAAAACAACAAACATAAGACACAAAGTAAACTAAAAAGAAGATACGAGACTAAGTTACACAAAGTAAACGAAAAAGAAGATACGAGACTAAGTTAGATTGTTCATAACTTGCAATAACTATTATGAATTGATTTAAGTTTACTTTATTTTATATTAATTAACACCCAATTACATACTGTACACTCACAACCAAATAGGAAAAAGATAAATCATTTTTTATTCTAAAACAAGATAAATTATTCTTTTTTAAAAACATAAGGAGTAGGCTCCATTGATAGTAGAGATTATTTTGCCAAAGGTATTGAGGATAATATAGACATTTCTTAACTAAGTTGCTGCATATATAGAAGTTGAGATTGAATTCCTATCTACTTGTTTAAACAACGAGAACCTTACTCTTCATGCCAACTTTAGTTGGTTCGAAATAAATTATTCTTACATAATAATATATTTGACAAATATGAAAACAATTTTTAATTTAGAAAATTTTTTAAGGATAAGATAGAAGGTATTGAAAAATAACAATATTTCTTCAATTTAAATAACAATTAAAATTATGAAAATAATTGATAACAAGTCTAAGAAAATAGTTGCTTGATTATGATAAAATTTTAAAATAAGTGAAGTATATTTATTTTGATCCATAATAATACCAGTGAAATAAAAGGCAAAGAAATGTCTTCCAATATTCCATATATCGTGGATAAAAGGTATTAAATTTATTTTTTATTGTGTTTCGATGTTTTCTACTTTAAATAATTTATGTGTATATATATTTTTTAATAGACGAAAGGCCTTTTTAAAAGTTTTAATTAAGCTGTCCTTTAGAGGAAGAGGAAGGAAAAATAATTTATTATAAATACCCAAAAATCTGTTGATACACGTAATTTTTTAATCAAAAATCAATTGAGATATTTTGCGCGGCGTGTCCATTATTTACTATATATTACTCACTTGAATGAACCTCTTATATTTTCTTCAAATTTTAAAGATCCTTTAATCAAACTCTGATCGACATCACCAGGAGAACGGATCAAACCTCACATTAATCCTAACACAAATGTACAAACCACATAAAATTAAAGAAGCAATAAAAAATTACAGGAGACTTGGATGTAACTAGCGGAATGGAAGTCAGAATAGAATACGAAACAATAAAAAGTAACAGTTTTTATTAAATGATAATAACAAGGATATGATAGATATCATTTATCGTTTCTTTTTCTCTTTTGGCGTTGCATCAAGGTATGAGAGCAGTGGATTCTTCGATCAGAACACAGACGCTGGAAACAACATAATCTGGGAATGGGACGATCACAAACGCCACTGAACTTGCTTCAACTGTGCAACAAGTGTTAACGGATCTGGACATAGCAACACCAAGAATCACTGGTTACTATGCAGCCACTGAAACGTCTGTTCCTAACAGTAATGGTTCAAGCATTTATGCCATTGCTCAATGTATTGAGACTCTTACACAAATTGGCTGCCAGGATTGCCTCAACATTGCCTTAAGAAATTTTGATCTGTCTTCCCAACTCTAATGCTAAAACCTATGATGCTGGTTGTTTCATGAGATACTCCACTAGAGCCTTCTTTGCTGACAATCAAACCATTAATATTAGGCCCTTCTTGAAGCAAGGTATCTTAAAAACTCAGATTATGTGTGTCGGGTTTTTGTTCTGTTATGAGTGTTACATCAGGGAACCTCACGAGAGAAATGTTGTACTATATGCTCATAATGGTTCTTTCACTTTTTTTTTTTTTTTTATCGATTTTGACTTGTAGGAGGTTCAAGCAAGAGGAAGGCCATTATTGGGGGAGTGGTTGGAGGAGGATCGTTTATTTTGATTCTTGCATTATTTGCTTTGCACAGACGATCAACGTCATCCAAGAAGATTCATAGAGGTAAGATAACTAGGAAATTAAAGACTTATTATTCAATTTGAAATTGATGATTAATTTACGCCACATCCATGCTTTGGTTTTCCCTACAGGTGATATCTTAGGAGCAACTGAGTTGAAGGGCCCAATTAATTATAGGTATAATGATCTTAAGAAGGCCACAAAAAATTCAGCAAAGAAAATAAACTAGGAGAAGGAGGCTTTGGTGATGTATACAAGGTAAATCTTGTGTAAATATTTGTCTTCAATATTATAATCGATACCCCTTTTTAAAGATATTATTGATTCTAAACGTGTTGCTTGTATTTGAATATTCTACTACGAAAATCGTGTTGTCATCTGCTGTTCGAAATGGTTGATTAGTTGACTTGATTC